TTTTTTTTTTTTTGACAGGCAGAGTGGACAGTGAGAGAGAGAGAGAGACAGAGAGAAAGGTCTTCCTTTGCCGTTGGTTCACCCTCCAATGGCCGCCGTGGCCGGCGCGCTGAGGCCGGCGCGCTGAGGCCGGCGCACCGCGCTGATCCAATGGCAGGAGCCAGATGCTTCTCCTGGTCTCCCATGGGGTGCAGGGCCCAAGCACTTGGGCCATCCTCCACTGCACTCCCTGGCCACAGCAGAGAGCTGGCCTGGAAGAGGGGCAACCGGGACAGAATCCGGCGCCCCGACCAGGACTAGAACCTGGTGTGCCGGCGCCGCAAGGTGGAGGATTAGCCTAGTGAGCCGTGGCGCTGGCCGCTCAGTAATCATTTTTGAGTGCTTTAGTTAGTTGTGCCTTGGCTAAACACCTGCCTCCCCAAAACACCCTATATATCTCTCTTTTGCTGTTTATGGGGTTGTGTTTCTATCTGTTTCTGTATACACACACATGCACATGGCACACACATGGTTTATACACAGGTGATAGATATGTGCATAGTTATGCAAATAATCCATGATCATTTTGGAAAAACAAAAAATACATACATGGTGGACAAGAGGTTTGCCCAGTAATTGAGCTGCCATTTCGGACATCCACATCCCATGTTGGAGTGGCTGGGTTCATGTCCTGGCTCCACTCCCAATTCCGGCTTCCTGCTCGTGTGCACCCTGAGGGGCAGTGGCAATGGCTCAACTGCTTGAGTCCCTGCCTCCTACATGGGAGACCCTGATGGAATTTCAAGCTCCTGGCTTCAACCTGCCCCAGCCCCAGCTGTTGCAGGCATTTGGGGTGTGGGGAGCAACCTGGACTGGACTGAGTTACTGGAATTAAGGCTTATTCTATGCATCTGCTCTCCCACAATATGGCGCTGAGAAGGGAGTAACAGCTTCTACGCAGCTGCCTCCAGTTCAACCAAGAAACTGTAGGACCTGCTCCTGATTGGAGGAGAGCAGCGTACTTGGCGTGTGGGTAGCAGAGTTGGGATTGGTGGAAGAGGACTATAAAGGAGGAGAGAGACAACATGCACCAGGAACATCTAAGGGGAACATCTGAAGGAACACCTGTGCAGCCCCCGAGAGAGCCGGCCGGCGGTGTGCAGCTCCCCCACAGAAGTGGGGAATGTGGCAGGGGGAACCGCCCTTCCACGGAGGTGGAAGGGTCGGTAGCCAACCCGGGAAGAACCAGCAGCAAACCCGGGGAGGGCCGAGCAGACGAAAGAACAGCGCAGGGTCCTGTGTCGTTCCTCCACGAAGAGGGGGAGCGACATGGGGCGTGAGTCAACAGATGGGAGCTCTGTCTTTGTCTCTCATCTGTCTCTTTGCTGTTCAAATAGATTAAAAATATACATATATATTTTTAAAAAGAAGGAATATATACAAAACAGTTTCTCTGCTGTCAAGAGTAGCCACTATTTGGCCAGGTGTCCCTGTGGCCTTTGTGGAAATGCATGTGTATGTAATTATGGATGTCTCCAGCTGTGTAACCATATCATTATATATGTACAACCAAAGTACGCATTCTATCCAGCAGGATTTTTGCCTGCTTGGCAATATGTCATGTCAGTAAACATGAAATATGCATTACCTTAGGCAGTTACTCTATGATGTTTAAGTAAACTTGGTAATTTAAGACAGTTCCATACTATTGACACTGTCAACTGGAATTGGATTTTCTGTTGTAAACCTGGCTTGTGTGAGTGCCCTGAATCAGTGTGTTTAGATCCTTCCACAGTCCTCTCACCAAGGCTCACACGGCACAGTCTTCTTCTCGACCACAGGGTACTGTCCCTGTTCCTGCCACAGGCCTGCTTGTGGCCTAGAGGAACACGTGGGGTTCTGGAGAAGACACGGATTTCAGCATAATAGACCGTTTACAGGATGCCTCCTTCCCTAGGGCACAGCAGACAGCACAGAAGAAGCCAGGCCCCTAGAAACAGAGTGCATTAGGTATGAACTCCCAGGACTGGTGATCAGGGACAGTAAAATGGCCTGGAAATTTCCCAGGAATAGCCAGGTCACAGAACAGTTAGGAAACAGGAAACAGGGCTCAAGCTAACGTGACTACTGGTGTGCCTTTGCTCATTGACTTGACCTTGGACAGCCATAGTTAGCGATTCATAATTACTTCCTGCCATGCCTGTGTCGTCTCACTGAACCACGTCAATAAATAAGGCACTGGATGAGTTTAAGGGGAGAAGGGAGGTCATAGCCACGGAAGCCGAGGAGGTCACCCGTGGCTGTGCATCTAGCACGTGTTTATGGGGGATTGCGACCAAAGGAGGAGCGAGGGGATCACTCTGGCCTTCCCTTCTGCTGCCAGGGAAAATCCAGACTGCAGGAGAGGTGGGGCTGTGACAGTTGGGCACCATTGTTTTAAGAATCTGGCTTTCTGAATATCTTAGAATATTAATTTTTCCAATTTACTTCACTGATAACACATCTGAGTAAGAGCAGAGGTCCTGATTCTCCTCCCAGCTCAGCCTCTGAATCACCTGGGGCCACGCTGAACCTTGCTGTACCTCTGTGAAATTGGGATAAAAATACTGTGTTTCTGCTCTCTACCTCATAGCAAGTGTCCCAGTGTTTTGGCAAGAAAATGTTAATTAATGAAAGCACTTTGAGTTTCTTTGAAGTTGCTGAAATGTTTGAGGTGCGTGACTACACACGGCAGGGTTAATATCATTTACACTTAATCATTTTTGTGTTTACATTAAATATTTATAGTGCTGTGTTTAGAATCATAGACCAGTTAGCTCCCTATGTTTTAGGATGTGTTTATTGGCTGGCGCCGCGGCTCACTAGGCTAATCCTCTGCCTGCGGTGCCGGCACACCGGGTTCTAGTCCCAGTCCGGGCGCCGGATTCTGTCCCAGTTGCCCCTCTTCCAGGCCAGCTCTCTGCTGTGTCCCGGGAGTGCAGTGGAGGATGGCCCAAGTCCTTGGGCCCTGCACCCCATGGGAGACCAGGAGAAGCACCTGGCTCCTGCCATCGGATCGGTGCGGTGCGCCAGCCACAGCGCACCGGCCGCGGCGGCCATTGGAGGGTGAACCAACGGCAAAGGAAGACCTTTCTCTGTCTCTCTCTCTCACTGTCCACTCTGCCTGTCCAAAAAAAAAAAAATGTGTTTATTTATCTGAAAGAGAGATCTTCTATCTGCTCATTGCGTCCAAATGGCTGCAACAGCCAGCTCTGGGCCAGGCCAAAGCCAGGAGCCAGGAACTCTGTCTGAATCTCCCATATAGGTACAGGGGGCTCAAGCACTTGGACCATCTTCTTTCCCATGCATGTTAGCAGGGAGCTGGACTGGAAATGGAGCAGCCAGGACTGGAACCAGTGTACATGTGGGATGCTGGCGTTGCAGGTGACAGCTTCACCCACTGTACCACAACACTGGCCCTGCTCCTTCATCCTTGAGCATGACCTTCCCTTTCCTCTCATCCAGTCCCACCCTCTTCCATGGCCCTTTCCCTCCCACAGTGCAGGAATTGCTGTCCTGGTCTCCTGGACCGTCTCCCTAGTATCCTGCAGCCCTTATGTCTGGCCAGGCAGCCCTAACCTGCCAGGCCAGGCATCCAGCTCTTGGTTGGGGGTGGGGGGGAGGTGAGATAGAAGACCATCAGCCTGTGTCTTTCCCCACCCCCACACATCATCTGTCCTTAGTCCTTCTCTGGACTCCTCGGCCTCTTGATACCATGAGGGATGGTGAGATAGGAATGTCCAGTTTTCTGAAAATGAGTGTCCATGTGGATGGGAAGCAGAGCCACCAGTTTGCACTACCCATGTGTGCTGACACCAGCAGGTGACCATTGGGTTGCACTGCCATTGTTGTAGAATGGGTTGCAATAAACATTTCAGCAGGCATTCAGCAGTTAGGCAAGTCAGGGGCAGCACCTCTGTTTCAGAAATTCTCATCTTTAGTCTTACAACAAACATGAAACTTGGGGTATGTTCACTCCTGATGGTAGTGTTACCGAGATGTCAAGAGGTAGTCCTCCATGAGGAGGTTCAGGGTCCTAAAAGCCAAGGCAGGGACATTACTGAGTTCATGGAGCCTGGGGAGTCTCTATCAGGGGTCCCCACAACCAGCCCCAGGCTCAAGGATTCACTATAGACACTCACGAGGCTCAGCAAAACTTATTCTCGGGGTTGTGGTTCATGTCAGCAAAAGGGTGCACATGCAAGCTGCAAAGGGGAAAGGTCTATGCAGCAGGGTCTAGGAGAAGCCAAGACTTCCCTGTACTCTTTCCCACTGGTGGTACCCAGATGAGCCTAATGTTCCAGCCACTGTTGTGACAAGACAAGCAAGACCTTGTCAGTCATGGACACTCACTGAGCCTTGGTGTCCATTGTTTTGACTGGGGTCAGCACCATAGGTAGGCTGCACGATCTGTGAGATGGACCTCAGCTACTCAGACTCCAAAGCGCCCAGCACTAAAGTAGGCGTTCACCATCAATCACAGGACTGCTGTCAGCTGTCTGATCCAGCTGGGATGTGAGGCCTGAGGCCTTGGGCATGCAAAGTGCTCTTCCCTGGCAGAACCTTACAAGGTCTCAGAGCTCATCTCTGAGAGCCAGTCAAGAGGCAGTCCTGAAAGCAGCTATCTGGAGAAGGTACAACCCAAGGCTACCGACTCAACTCTTCCATGCCTGCATTCCCAGGGTCAAGACACTGGAAGGCTTTGGTCATGTTGCAAGCTTCTCATTGCTCAGTTGTTAGCCCTCCAAGAGTAGCATCAGCTCTTGTTTGCAGATAGCAGTAGCTGTTGAACTGTTTCGGTGCAAAGCAGATCATCTGCATCCAGGACATTGTAAATTATCACTGTTGCCGTCGTCATCATCTTTCAAAGTGCAGGGCCTGCAAATGAGCCCTTGATGCTTTCTTGTCTCAAAACAGGTCTCTACTCCACACCAGCATTTAACCTTCTCCCTTGCTTTTCTCTGTCTCCCCTTCCCTGGCAGTGGCTCAGAAACCCTGGCCCTCAGCATGAGAAGCGGACTCTGTTTGGAGACATGGTGTGCTTCTTGTTCATAACGCCCCTGGCCACCATCTCGGGCTGGCTGTGCCTGCGGGGCGCCGTGGACCACCTGCACTTTAGTAGTCGGCTGGAAGCCGTCGGGCTGATTGCACTCACTGTCGCACTCTTCACTATTTACCTCTTTTGGACACTAGTAAGTATGGCCTATGGCCGGGGGTTCAGACCAGCGGAAGCTGGCAGCCTCACCACTGGCACAGCCTTGCCTCTTGTCTGTAGCACATCCTACCTGCCCAGTGGAAAGCAGACCTTCAAGTGCTGGTGGGAGGGTGGGGTTTGCCTTACGACTGCATGTGATTCTCTGTGTGCATGCACTGCAGGAAATAACAGCTTCTGAGCGTCCATCAGCAAAAGGTATACGCCTTGGACATCTCTCCGTGGTAGTCTATGACTCCCCTGCCATGAGACACAGTGTGTGCCTTCTCTTGTTCATGTTTCTCCCTTTTGCTGGGATTTTGGTGTGTTTGGAATGTTGCATTTGGCCACTGTCGCTGCCACCCTTGCACATGTCATGAATCCTCCCTGCCGGTTATTCTCTTCTTGCATCCTGACACAGCCCAAAGTCTGGGTTGGACTTTGTGGACTGAACTTTGCTGGGTGATTATTCCTATGTTGAAATACTGACTCTGCTGCCCATAAAAGCACCATGTTATCTAGGTGCAAAGCTGCCACCAGAGAAAAGCCCTTCCCCAGTAAGAGTTCCCGGTGCAGGTGCGGAAGCTTTCATGTGCATCTCTCTGCTTGCCATTGGTTCACTTCATGCACCATCTTGATTGCTTGGGCGTGACTTTGCAGCACCCTCCAAAGGCAGCATTGGTTCTTGTTCTGCTTCCCTGTGGGAGGCATGGGGAAGGTGTCACCGTCCTCAAGAACATTTTCAGAAGCCAGGCCCCCTGCTTCGTGGCTGTGCTCTCTCCTGTCTGCTTGTTTCTAATCTGAGCACATCCCATTGTCATTCAGTAGGTATTTCCTACCTACCACGTACCATTCTCATCCATTCTCGCATCCCAGAGCACAGTGGCAGCATGTGCAGCTGCTTCCAACACTCACATTTCCTCTATCTCCCAACCCTGGGCATCAGCTGCCACGCCGCTGACCTGTTCCACTCCTCTCCTGTTCATCATGGGGTTCTACCAGCTCTGACCTTTCCCTCGCTTGGGGGTCTTCAGACAGTAGGGGGACACATTTTAGTTCCAGGAAGCAGTTCATGTCTTGAGCCTGGCTAAGTAGGGGGTATTTTCATGCTAAGAACTTACCAGAGTCTTCTAGTTAGTTTAGCCATTCTGTTCCCAGGCTAATTGCATCCTTGAGACATATACGCTACCAAAGTGTGTCCTGGTGCGTTGTGAGTGAGGTGAGGAAGCTGATCCACAAGTTTCTGTTGTGATGGGAGAGGGTTAGAAATACAGAATTCCACAGTCTAATGGCCCCAACTAACTCTCTTGGAAAGTCCCTTCCCTTCTCTGAGCTGTGGTGAGAAGTGGGGATGGCAGTCAGGCCCACCCAGCCATCATCTCTGGGGTGGTAAGACTGTAGTGAAAGAGTGCTCAAGAAAATACTTTGGAAGATAATAGTTAAGTGTAGTTAGATACACTTAGGGGTCAATAGTTAGACATTTTCTCATCTGTAGTTTTCCTCAGGAGAGCTCCTGTGGTAAAGGGTAGAGGAAGGGGAAGCCTACGTGCTGGGCTTTTAAAGCCACTTTAAGCCCTTTTGGAAAATCCATTCTTCAGGGCTCGCACTCACCCAGAAGAGCAGAAGAGGGGCCGGAGGCAGGAAGGGAAGTCAGGAAGGAAAGAAAGACAGCAACTTGGAGAAAAGTATCTGTTACGGTCTCTACCCCCCATCTCAGAAGAAAGGGAGACTGGGGCGGTAAAGGCTTCAGGACCAGGCTTCCGGACAGTACCTGTGTTCTCCACACCCCCATGTTTCCCAGGGCAGTGCAGCACTAACTGCCTGCATTTAGCAGCCAAAGGTCTTGTGTCAGACCCAAGATGTAGCCTCCTGTTTGCTAGATAAACTCAAATACAGTACTTAACCTCTCTGCTCATTCTTCCTCTTGTATGGAAGTGGAAGGAACACTTGATAACCCCTGGTCAGTGGTTATGACGATGATTTAGCGGAATAACAGCTGTGCGTATATATCCAACCCACAGCCCAGCTTTGCTTCCTCGGCTCCCACCAGACCCTTGTAAAGGACAGAGTCACAGGAGGAAAGAAGCCTTTCTGCCCTTTGGTGTGGTGTGAAAAATGTGCTGTGGAGTCAGCCCAGCAACCGGCACTGAATACAGAATAATTCCTTCCCAGATAAATACAGCACTGAGCAGCCCTGGCAAGAGCCTTAATTCAGAAGCTGACAGCACTTGGAACCTGCCCCACGGCAGAAACCCACTGTAAACAAGCTGTCAGGCTTAAAGAGAATATGCTGTGAAAATGCCTTAGATAAACAAACACGGTGTCAGTCCCAGCCTGGCATCTGCAGGAGCATTTGCCGGAAGGGCCGCACACCATGCCACGCCATCCACTGTCAGGTGCCCCTGGTGCTTCTTGCCAGCTCACGTGGCCACGAGGGCCCAGTCCTGATGCTCACCCAGGAACCCTGCTCTCTGTGTGGTCAGAAACTCAGCTGGGGTCCAAGAGGCCAGGGCTTCAACCCCTTCCAACCCAAGAGCTCAGGCACCAGGAGCCACAGAAACATCAGCACTGATGGCCGAAGTGAGAAGTCCTGGGACAGATGCCAAGCTGCAGCATGAGAAGGGTGCCCACGTCAGCATGAAGACATTGTCCACAAGGAGCTGGTGAGGTGGCGAGGATTGTGGATAGGACATCAGCTGGTGTCCAGGCCAGCATGAAATGAATGAAAGACCAGGTCGTCAGAGGCTCACTGCCTGGCTCACATGCAGATCATGCAAACCCTTGTCATGAAGGAGGGACGCTCCAGAAGAACACTACCCTGTGAGGGCTCCCTGCCTGGCAGGTGCCACCTGTACCCAGGCAGCCTGGGAGTACTCAGTGCCATCCCCCTGCCCTGGGACTGGAAAAGCAGCTGCCCTAAGCCCCAACCCTGTGAATGTGCTGATGTCACACCATAACTTCCAGAGAGAAAGGGCAGAGGACGAAGATGAAACTATAAGGTCTCCTGAAGCCTGCCAGGACTTGATAGCAAACACCTGCAGTCACCAAGATGCCATCCTCTCCCTGGTGGGGACAGGGTGGCCACCAGCATTCTCTACACTTCTGGTGCCATCGCTGAGACACACTCTGGGCCCATGGTAGGCGGCTGGTCAATGAATGAAGACACTCCAAGAAATCTGTCCATAGGCTTAAGGGTCGTATATTTAGAATACTGGCCCAATACTCTTGCTTCTTGCTTTCTCCTAGAAACCTCAGCAATATAAGAAATATGTAACTGGAGTTCTAACATGCCTGCTACAGCGCCTTTTTGGTTTATGTAATTGTTTCCTCACTGACTTTATTCCTCTAAACTAAGCTTCCTTTTTGCCTGTTATAAGGCATTGCAGGAAGCTTCTAGAATAACCCAGGGCTGGAGCAAACCTGTGGTCGCTCTGCACTGTACTCAGCTTCCTTTATTATCCTAATAACGAGTTACCTTTATGAAGCCTTCTTCTAATGGACTGGATTTGCCTGCACATCTCATCTGGTTGTCTACACACACATGTGGATTTTTTTTGCCCTTGGCCAAGAAACCAGGACACCTGCTACGTCGTTGACCCCATGTATTCCCTGATGCCATGCTTCTTGGGCTCCAATATATATGCTGATCATCCGGGGACCTTTTTCCAATGCGCTCTGGTTCCTCCCTTTGGGTGGGCCCCTGGTTCTGAAAGTCGGACAAGCTCCCAGTGATGGAGCCTGCTGCCCCTCACGACCACACTGAGAGCAAAGCCTTAAGGAGCCCAATCTTTGCTTCTTCCCCCAGTTTCCTGGAATCTACTAAGGAGTGTCAGAAAATAAACAACAGGCCAAGGACACTGGCACGTGTGGGGCTGCAGGATATGCATTATCTCACATGCACTATTCACACATGACAAATGAGGGAACTGCAGCCTGTTGATGCCAAATAACCTCCCAAAGTCACATACCAGCAATTGGAGGGTGAGGATTCCAACCGGTGTGTCTGGCCATGGAGCCTGTGACCTGCTGCCCGCACAAGCCACAGCTACTTCTGAGCTGCCTTGTGCAGAATGTGCCCAGCCTCTTAGCATCGCAGAGGAAGGACTTCCCAATGTGTGATCCAGTGCTCCTGTGGTATCTCTGGCTTCCAGGCTCCTCATTAGTTCTTCCTGTGTTCTACCTCTTTCTTGCCCTTGGCCCTCAACCTCAGGCTCTCCAACCTGCCACTGACATTCATGAGTGACACTAGGCAGCAGCAGGGTAGTCATTGGAAGAGAATCCATGTTTGGGGGGAAAAAAAGAAAAGAATGGATCCACTTTGGCATCTTTGGGCCCTTGTGGAAAAAAGCACATCTGTGTGAGTTTAAAAGCTTATATTTTCATACGCAAATCTCCCTGGCACTTAGCCTGTGGCATCTGCTTCCTAGCCTCAGAAATGTGAGCGGGTGGCCTTGAATTTCATGATCCTGCCAGCAGACGACTAAGCTCTTTCTAAATAAAGACCTGTGCTCCCCTCTGCTTCCAGAAATAGGTCAGCCCCCTTCTGACCACCTTGGGTCCTCTCTGGGGGTCCAGACCAGTCTCCAGGCTCCTGTCCATAGTCAACTCGAATGATGCATCATTCAGAGCTCCTGGGCACCTTTCTGCCCTGCCCTGCCCTTCCCTTGGCATCTGGATGCACTCAAACGGGTACCTACTCCATTTTTAAAGGCAGTTCACACATCTTCAAAAGTATAGGATCTGAGTTTCCTGGGCAGTGCATCAGTGCTTCATGCCAGATTTCTCCACAACAAACCACAAGTTTCAGTGTGTCATTCCAGAATATTTACCTAAAAGCAAGCGCTTTGGAGGCATAATTATGTCACAGTTGACCACAGAATTCACCTCTCGTGCTGTCCTTGTATTATGTAAGAGCAACTTCAGTTTAAAGCTGTGTTGCAATCACAAAGCCCAAGTTCTGAAGAATTTCCTGGGTGCCAGGCACTGTGGTAGGCTCTGGGCACGTGAAGCTGGATATAATGTAAGCCCTGTCTCAAGGTGCTGTTCACGCACCAAGAGACAAGAACGCGTACTTGGTGTACAGCGCCCTGCACGTCTGCCTGAGCAGGCACAAGGTGCTGCGGGCTCCCATGGAAGTAGTGCTTCACCCAGCCCGTGGCTCAAGAGGGCTTCTCTGGATTGGTGGTGCCCAGGCTGAATCTTCCTCACTGACAGCTGCAGAGAGCTAGGGCTGTGGGTGGTTAGGGATCAAAGCTCACCAAGTACAGTTGTGCACATTGTCCCTAAACCTGCATGAAGGGTGTCCTCCGTGCCATCATGGGAATGGGTCCCTTTGAGTTGTACAGTGTCTGGCCTGTGGACAGAAACATGAAACTCTGGCATCCCTGTCATTTAACAGAGAGGAGCCTGGGCACCAGAGAGGCATATCAGCCGTGTCACACCCTGTCCTGATGCCTCCAGCTGACCTTCACAGCTGACATCTGGGGGCCCACTAGCCCCAAAATCAGTCCAAACGCAGAAAGAACTCACTTTCCTACTCACGTTCTGATTTGATTCAGGATGTGGGGGAACAAAGGCACCCACCCATGCAACCCCAGCCATAGGCTCACACGGGATGCTGGCTTTGGCTGGTGATGCAGCTTACAACACTGCACTGCTCACCAGCACTGTCTTGTCCAGGGTGCATGCCCCACTGCGTCACCACTGCCTACAGCTGTCGGCACCTGTTTCCAGAAGCAGTTGTTTTTGAGAGCGATGATCAACTTCTGCTCACCTGAATCCCTTCTCTTATTTTTCTTCTGCCATTCCCAGGTGTCGTTTAGGTACCACTGTCGATTGTACAACGAATGGCGTCGGACCAATCAGAGGGTGATTCTCCTCATTCCAAAGTCTGTCCACTTACCTTCCAACCAGCAGTCCCTGCTGGGCCTGCACTCGGCCAAGAGGAACTCAAAGGAGACAATTGTGTGATGTGCGTGGTTGGTTGCTTGACTAGTTGTCTGGAGTCTGGAAGTTTCTACACTGGCGCCATGCACCCAAGCCACCCCGAGGCCCTCCTGAGGCCCGTGGGTCCAAGAACATCCCGAGGTGCGTTAGCACATGGCCCCGAGCAACGCCCTCCGCCAGAAAAAAGCAAACGCCGTTTGACTTCAAATCGTGGATGCTGCAATCACGTGATAGTTGCTGAGCTGCCAAACGTGTTCATTTAGCAGATACTGTATGGGGGTTCTGAACACCTCTTTAACATATGAGGAAGATTGTCATGCTGAGGGTGCAGTTCAATTCTTCCTTTTTTATTACTATTTCAGATATATAAATATATATATATATATTAAACTTAGATGATAAAATCAAAAAGCCAATGTAAAAACTGGTTTCTTGGTTTGGATGGGCTTTGTTTGGGCTAGCTTGTTTCGCAGTTTCTACTGTGGATTCTTGGGGGCAATTTGATAGCTTGAGTGGTCTTTCTCATCTCGTTCATGTCCCTTACTCAAGGAGGTAGTACAATGACTGCAGAATGACTTGTATTGGAAGGCTGTTTTGTACTAAATTTCACTTAATTATTCAGTTTTTAAAGGGAGAAAAAGGCACAGCAACTGTCCCACACAGTGCGCTGTTTATTTAAATATCATTAAGGAGAAAAAAAATTATGGCGAGAAACAACTTGTTTGGTACCAAGAGCTGATAGAAACTATTTTCTAATAATAAATATCCAGTGTGTGAAAGACAAATCCCACTGATTGCAGTTCTCTCTCTCTCTCTCTCTCTCCTCTCTCTTTTTAAAAGAATAAAACCTGTGAAATTTTCCAAAGTAGATTTTAAAAATTAAATAAATAAAACAGGGGGAAAGCAAAAAGGTTGGTGTTCTAACTCCCATCTCCTTGAGTGGATGTCTTAATTCTGCATTCCTAGTGAATTGGAGGATCATTAGACATTTCTAGGAACCTGAGACCTGTTTTGCATATCAATTAGCACTCCCATTGCTCTATTGAATTTCTAGCTTGACAGGTAGATGCAGCAGAAAAGCCAGTCCTAGCAGCCAGGCACCTAGTCAGAGACCCTTTGGTCCTTTTGTCTGATTTTCAAAAACAGGAAGCCCACACAGTGCCTTTGCCCAGCCATGAGCCAATTCTGTCACAGCCAAAATAGACTTTTTCTAAGGGCTTCGCGTTCCCCCTTTTATCCGTGGCAGAATGAAGGGTCTGATCTGTCGCCTACTTCGAGTGCAGCGGGGCCAGGGAGCCCAGGTCTCTTCCCAGCAAAGCGCCAGCTGGGGTGGGCACCCAGCCGTGAGCTGGGATTTCTAGAACATGACCCACATTCTCAGAATTGCTCTAGTATCTGCCTTGTGCTCCCAGAGCAGGAGAGCAAACGGTGCAGCAAGAGGGGAGCGATTTATGTCCACAGATGGATGGAACCGGCGCAGGTGTCGCCTTTGTGGGACAAGTCCTCCGTTCATAGGCTGCTCCTTCATGGCCTGGGGAGGGAAACAGCTGCACTGCTCTGGGTGGGAATTTCAGATGTGCTTTATGGCTTGTGACAATGGAGTTCCTCCCCCAGCACGCTTCACTTCGACGCTTCAATCCCAGTAATATACGTCTCGACCATTCTGTTTACGCCACCCCGCTCACCCCTCTGGGCTGTCATTAGCAGCACCACCATCAACGTTCCTTAATTGACCTTTTTAAAATGCTGGACACCGCTGGCTGCAACACAGCTGCCGCACAGTAAATTTCCAGAGCCAAGAGTCCAGCTTAGTAGCTTGTGAATTGCAGCCCTGAAATATGCTTGGTAAGTGATGCCCACCCAGCCCTAGTCCCTGGGCTACCAGGTGAACCTAGGGCACTGCTCAGCTTTGTGGCCCAATGTTCATGAGTCCGTGCCCTTGCTCCTGTGTCTCCCATGAGTTAAGGAAGTGGCAGGCTTTCTTTTGAGGTTGGCTGCAGAACACTCCCTCCATCTTAGTGGATGAGGTGGGAGAGAATGGCACTGAGTGGTGCAGACGGGTAGCTCCCCGGCAGCTGGCTGGGGCTCCAGCACCAGGCTTTCTCAGCTCCTTACCACTGTGCCTGTGCCTGGCCTCTTTCCCCAACATGTATGTCTCAATCCAGCAAAGCAGGGCAGAGCCCAGGCCACAAGGCGCCAGGTTGCCTGTTGGGTGGTGGGCAGGCCCCCTGGCAGCCAAGAACAGCACACGTGCTCCCTGGGCCACCAGCTTGGGACCTCTGCCGTCCACCAGAACAGGGCCATCTGGGCCACTGGGAATTCTTGGGGGACACTCATTGCCCTCTGAGTCTCTCAAGCCTGAGGTTCAAGGTAGGAGTGGCTCAGGGAACTGCCAAGAGTTGATGGGGACCGGTAGGGGCCGAGATCTGTGCTCCACCCCATGCAGAGGGCTCTGCCTGCCTGGGACTCACTGGCACCCCGGCGCCATGCAGGTTCCAGCAGCTGTGCTAGCCTCATACTCTCCCTTTGCTCCTTTTTGAAGAAGGAAGCGATGGGGGGCAGGGGCAGTTGAAGGATCCTGGTTGCTCACTGCTTCCTTTTCGCTGACTTCTCCCATGGCTGTCTCCTTCGCCCTCCCTGCTCTGACCCCATCCTAACCATTTTTCTGGAGAGTATGGTACAGATCTGCACAAGTGTCACCGTGACTTAACCAAGCCCGGCACGCTTTTTCCTGCCCTGCCCTGGATGTGTGCAAGGGTTTCTGAGTGTTCCCATTGGGGAGAGGGCACGGAGCATCCACGCAAACCCTGCAGCTCCTCTGAGAACCGAGCAACATGCAGACAAGCTGTAAAATCCAATTAAGGACCAACAAATGGCCTGCTTCTGGAGTTTTTCATTTGCTCTCCGTGGTCCAGGTCTTCTCCTGCCCTGAGTACCAGGGCCCTGTCTTGCAGTGTCATTTTCAGCTGAGCTTCAGCCACAGCCACTTCATTTCCAGTGCAGGCAACTCGTGCAGGGCATGGAGGCACCGGCAGAGAGAAGAGACATGGACCCACAGCCTTCTGGGCAGCTCGCCCTACAGCAAATGTGGCTGCAGCCTCTCTTGCCTCCCAGGCCTTGTTCTTTCCCCACTGGGCACCACCCCCTGGCTAGAGGCCCAGTCTGTGCCTAGCACACATCAATCACCTGATTTGCATCCCTTCCTTCTTCCCTCACACTCCACATGGCTTCTGAAGCTGCCCACACTTGGGACTGCCCCAAGGCCAAAAGCTCCTGAGGTAAGATAGTGGGAAATGGCATCAGAAGCCACTTGCTGTCCACTCCGATGCAGACTGCTCTCAGCAGCTGCTCGGAGAACAGCCGCATGTCTTGCTGGCTGCAGCACTAGATGAAACATTTGAGTCAGGATTCTGAAGACTGAAACGGGGTGGGCATTGGGCCAACAGGTGGGACAGGGTTGGGAATTATTTTAGAACTGGCAGGTCGGGACCTTGATGGACCTGGTTTTACCCTATACTGCCTGGCCAAGCACACGCAGTCTTCTGACTGGCAGGTACACTATGCAAACTCCAGTGCTGTTAAGCAGAGTCGTGAGAAACTGGTACTCTGAGTGGGGATGCCTGGGCCACTGCTGACTCTGAGATTTGTCAGTTCTGCAGAAATATGTGGGCTGTGAGCCACCTGTTTTGGATTCATGGAAGTCTCTGTGTCTAGGAGTTAACTTAGGACACTCTGCATTTTCCTTACTGTCTTTTGTCCTGGGCTGACTCTGTCCCTGATTCCCAATGTGTTAGAGAACTGGCTGTGGCATCAGACTGCCTGAGTTTCAAAACAGGACCTGTAATGTCTCAGCTGCAGATAGTGATCAAGGGGCCTCACCTATCAAAGCTTTGGTTTTTGCATCTGTAAATGCAGATAATGTCTACCTTATATCAGCCCTGTAAGATTGGATTCACCAGCTCTTCATGACTGCAAGAAATAACCTGAGACATGCTGCTTATAAAGCAGAGAGGGGTTCATGTAGCTCACAGTTTTGGAATCCACATGGTTTGATGCAGGCTCTGCCAAAGACCCCATGGTGGTTGGTGAAGTATGTGTGTGAGAAGAAATGCATGGCAAGCCAGGAGGCAGAGTCCACGACTGGACCCAAGCTCAGGCTTTTATAACACCCCTGCGCCCCGCCACCCCCAGCTGTCTTCTAAGGTCACACCCACAACGGCCTAAGGATTCCACTGGGCCCTGCTCCTAGAGCGTCCACCACCTTTTTTTTTTTAAAAAAAAGATTTATTTATTTGAAAGTCAGAGTTACACAGGGAGAGAAGGAGAGGCAGAGAGAAAGAGAGCAGTCTTCCATCCACTGGTTCGCTCTCCAAATGGCCTCAATAGCCACAGCTGGGCCAGTTGGAAGCCAGGAGCCAGGAGCTTCTTTTGGGTTTCCCACTCGGGTGCAGGGACCCAGTGACTTGAGCCATCTTCTGCTGCTTTCCCAGACCATAGCAGAGAGCTGGATCAGAAGTGGAGTGGCCGGGACTCAAACTGGTGCCCACATGAGATGCTGGCACTGCAGGCGGCAGCTTTACCTTTACGCCACAGCCCCAGCTCCAGCCCAAGTCTTTCACACTGGGCCTTCAGAGCACTCTCAAAGCCACAGCAACATCCAAGCCAGAGCACGACTTGCAGGCTTGGCACCTGGCAGCTCTAAATGAGTGGCACCCTCTTCCCTCGCCTGCTCCCACTCACTGTTGCTACCAGCTGGGTTCTTGGGCTCTAGACCTGGTTTCAAAGAATGATTTGGGGAGCCAGCATTGTGGCACAGGGGGTAAAGCCACTGCCTGCAGGGCCAGCATCCCATATAAGCA